CAGCAGGAGCTCCAGTGCAGGAGACTTTGCTATTAAGACAAGGCCCTTAAGGACTCAACAGAAGTATCTTTAACCAAGATGTAGAATCCTTTGATCCCTAACCCTACTCAAACAAACAGAGTTTTGCAAACTCTTCCAGTTCTGTAAGACCAGACAGAGTCCTTCAGCTGGGCATTTTCAAGCCAGATGTCTAAAAGCCACCTGTCAGGAGAAACTACTAGCCTGTCCTGCAGCTCCAACTCACCACCAGGGCAGCTGTGGTGAGCCCTCGTCTTGGGTCCTCCAGCAAACCACTGAAGATAAAGACAATGCTACTACAAGCTGACTACATTGAAATACCTGAAGTTTGGAGATAGGCAGACCACAGGAGGATACTGAAACTCCAGAAATAAGCAAAACTCAGCTGTAAACCCTTCCCTTCTTATAACTGTGTCATTGAGAGCCCTCCCACACCCATAAGGAGGAGGAGGGAGAGTAGGACCCCACAGCTACAGCACTAGGCTGGGAACTTGAGAGCTCAGCTCTGCTCCCTCTAACAGTTGCTGCTCACAGCCATCCCCCAGATTTCACACCACAGCCCAGGCAGAAGTCACAATTGTCATTCATAAAGTTGTGCCATTTGGAAAAATTAGCTCACTCTTCCCAGGCGTGGGACTCGTTTGCTTTTCACAGAGCCTCAGCGCATTCCTGTTGGAGAGGGAGACTTCACGCGAGAGCAGCCACCTCTAAGACTTAACTCCGGACCAGCAGAGACCATCTGAGGTTGCTGCATAAGAGGATGGGTTCCAGTAACAGGGCTAGAATTTCTTCACGTCACAGTAGCTCCTCTGCAGGCTTTTCCCAGTCTTTGTGGAAACCTCAAAGCAGGGCAAGGAATAGCTCTGCAGAGGGCAATGTGCAACCACATCCAACTCCCTGAGCAAGGACTGCTGCTGATGGCATGCAGCTGGACACTGTACATAAAGAACTTAGCCCCAGAACTCACTGTCAGAACCTCAAATGACCTCCTAGTAACTGACTGTGATATTTTGGGCAGCCTCTGGCTGGAACAAAGCAACGGAAAGTCCATCCACGCCACATCACTGGTGGTGCCACTGAAGGCACCAGCCGCATCCCCTTGCATCTCAGCCAGAGAGGGATGGCTGCAGCTGGCAGCAGCTTGGCTCCTCACTGCTCCTGTGCCTGGTGCTCAGCTCCCAGGACCCCACCTCCAATCAGACTAACCTCAAATCAAATCCGTGTTTGGGCAGCTCTGCCTTCAGGTAGGCAGGAGCTCTGCAAAACTGAATGGGAACAAATACATGGATACTCATGGTGCTCAGCAGATGTAGAGGAGGTAAACTGAAACACTCAGCGCCAAGTAGTATACACTAGGTTAACATGACCTAAATTTTATTTTTTTTTTTTAAATTTCCAAACCACAGTGGAAAGGTATTTTAAACTAAAGTGATTCCAAGCTCTTTAGTGATTAAATGGACTACAGCTCTGGCTTCTAGTGGAAAAACCATTTGTTTTTCCA